CTTGCCAGAAAGACAGAGAGAGAGAGAGAAAGCGAGAAATAACCCCTGGGGGGAGGATGGGCACGCCACAATCCCTTCTCCATTCTCCTCTTGGGACCTTGGGCATGCATACACACATGCCTGGTGTGAGTTTAAGCACCAATTCCAGGACTCAAACCACGGTAGACTACATGGGAGTTCAGTGACATCGCCATTACGCTAACTGCTGGTCCCTGGAGGTGGTGACTTGAAATGTGAGGTGGAAACCTTCAGGAAAAGGAAGAAATGGTCACCGTATACTAGGCAGCCTTTACCACTTCTGCCTAAAGTACACCTTCGACAACTCAGATAAGAAGCAAATCTCTGACTTTTTTTTTTTTTCCTCATTAGGTCTGTAATAAATAAGAATGGGTTCTTGGAAATTGATGTCTTGGTTAAATTTTAAATTGTCCACTGTAGAATACGTGATTAAAGTGATGTATATGAAGATAACCATTCTCTAACTCCAGTTCAACACCTATGGTTGACGCTTGGTCATTCTTTTTTTCTTAGTGGCTTCATGAGTCAAGTATGTTGGAAATTGAGTACATCATCTCTCTCTGCTTTATTTCCTTGACTTTCTACTAACAGTACTACTACTCCTTCCAGGATTCAAATTTCAGAGTCGCTTTTGTTCTTTTCTCTTTTGCCATCAAATATAACAACCACTAGTCATTAAATGTGGTCAGAGCTCAGCTCAAGGCATTGCATATTCAGAGAAGTCTTGAGTAACCACCCAAGCAAAGCCAGACTCTTAACTATCAGGTGCTTATTAGGCACAAGTAATGAAAAGTTCTTCACATTGATTCCTACTGCTATCATGTAGGGCAGAAAAGACTGGACATGTCTTATTCACTGGTATGCCCCTAATCCTGTTGTTGAAACAGAATTCGTTGATGGCTACTTGCTTACTATATGGATGAACAGTTCTTTAATATTGTCCCTCTTCCTGGTTCTCTTCACTTATACATTGATCATTCTAGAAAAACTCTTATCCTTTTATAATTGGACTGTTTTAATATCTTGTTAATGATGCTTTCTTCTTATAAGATTATCCTGCTCCAATGGATTCTTCATTATTTATGTCATAGCACTCTGTTGCTAAAAACCAACAATTATTCCCTGGGTTTATGAAATAAAAATCAAATCCTTACACTTTCAAATCTGGTACTCACAAAACTTTAAAAACTTGTAAAGTTCCTTCATAAGAAATTCATTCCAGGTGCTGGCAGGTGGCATGGTGGTTAAGGGTGCTGGATTCCCACATGGCTGACCACAGTTTAAGTCCTGGACCTGGTGGCTTCCTTTCTCACTCTCTCTCTCTCCTTCTCTCCCTCTCTCCATTCTTCCCTCCCTCTCTGATCAAATTTAAACAAATAAAATGAATAAAGTTAAAATAATTCTTAAAAAATAAAGAAAGAAACATTCTAGTGGCTTGATGTGTGATCTCTACAAACTCCTCTATTCACACTAGTCAATTTTCTCAGAAAGCATCTTTTCCTATGTCTAGTCTTGATAAATTATGTCCTCCTTGATGTCCTATGTCAAATCTCCTTGATTCATATAGCCTTCCCTTTATCCTAGCTGGATGAAGACATCAGATTCTACCTCAAGTCAGAGACTGGCATTTGACTCAGCTCTAGTTGAATGGCTTTTTTTTTTCTTATCTGTAAAGAAGAATTATTACCATTTGCTTGAAAGGGATATTATTAGTAAATAAAATAACCCATGCAAGGTATTTTGACATGAATTTTTTAATTTTACTTTAAAATCAACCAACTATAAAGTATATTTGGGGCAACTAAACAAATTGAAAACAATAGATGATATTTTGAAAGTACTCATTTCATTTTATTTGATAATGGTACAATCATTAGGTGACACAAGGTCCTTATTTTTGAAGCTATATGTTACAAGCATTTAGGGGGTAGAGGGTTATGATGTCTAAATTTTATTTTAATATGATCCAGAAAAAAAGTATCTACTTATCTAACTAGTGCTTGACACAATTTATGATTAAATAATTGATAATATAATAATTTGTAAAAACTGAAAAAGTTATTTTATTTCTGTCTTTACTTTAATAACCCAAGCTTTGTAACTGCCAAAACTAGGTATGTCTAGGTCACTGTTATATCTCCAATTCTTCACAAAGTATTGGGCAACAAGGTATTTTTAATAAGTCTGGTAGATATATAGTTGACCCCACTTATTCATATTTTTACTTTTTTTAAAGAATTATTTATTTTATTTTTTATTGTAATTATTAATTTTAACTTGACCAGAGAGAGAGAGAGATAGGAAGAAAGAGAGGAGAATTGAGAAAGCAAGCCACCATGGTCAGCCATATGGAAATCCAGCACCTTAACCACCACGCCACCTGCTAACCCCACAATTTTGCTTTTTGTGGTTTCAGTTAAACTGCAGTCAACCATGACCTGAAGATGCTAAATGGAAAATTTCAGAAATAAACTATTCATAAGTTTTAAATTGGGCATGTTCTGAGTGGTGCGACGAAGCCTTGTGTTGTCCACACATCCAGGACATGAATCATCCCTTTGCCTAGCATATCCATGAAGTATATACCACCTGCTTATTAGTCACCTAGCAGACCAGGGTAATAGGTTGGTTAGAGACTGACAAAACACAGCAGTATGTATGGTGTTAGGTACTAGCCATGGCTTCAGGCATCCGCTGAGGGTTTTGGAACGCATATTATATATTCTAGATAGGTAGATGCATGCCTGCATAATACGTACATACATGCACCATTTACATATATATTCAATATTGTGAAATACTAATAGCGGTTGAATCTAAATAGTGGGCATGCAGGTGTTTATTTAAATATTATTTTAATTTTCCTACATGTATATAGATTTTTTTTCTTTTTTTTTTGGAGAGGTTTTTGCTAAAGGGCATATACACTAGCCAGAAAAACAGAGAGACAGAGAGGCAGAAAACAAGAAATCACCCTCCGCAGGGTGGAAGGCCACGCTGCATTCCCTTCTCCTCCATTCTCCTCTCAGGATCTTGGGCACGCATGCACACGTGCCTGGCATGAGTTCAAGCCACAGGGTCCCAGACTCAAACTGCCATCAACTACATGGTAGTCCAGTGACATAGCCATTATGCCAACTGCTGGTCCCTATAGAGATTTTTAAAAGTACATTTTAATTGTAATTACACATATTCATTTAACTATGAAACCACGTGCCATTAAGTTACAAATACAGAGTGCTTGGTACATAATATGTGTTCAAAAATGTCACTGCACCTATATAGCATCTATTTTCTGCAACTATCACTTAGCATACCATGCCTTATTTTGTATCTCCTGCATTAACTATTTTATCTCCAACTATTCAACATGATTCTAGAAGACTTTCCGGGTCTTTACGTATTTCTTTATTTTTTCCGTTGGCCATTTAGATTTAATGGTAAAAGACTGGTTAATGATAACAAGGCATCATAAAACCTTCAGAAGGAAAGGAAAATGCTTTGTGGACCATTTTATTAGTTTGTGTGTGGCAGTTTTAAGTTATTAGTTTTTAAAATCTGTACTATTTTTGGTTCCCTTTGATTTATTTATTTTAAAATTTTTAATTAATTACTTTTCCATTCATTCACTAAGCATAGTCACAGCATACAAAGTGTGATTTCCCATCCAGAATATATTGCATAGTGGCTTAATCATACATGTTATTATTGATAATTTTCCATTTCTAGTTTCATATGTGTGTGTATATGGGGGATATATATATATATATATATATATACCATCAAGTTTACAGCATCTTATTAAAATTAAGTACAAGCTTATGGGGAAAATAAAGGATATTCTTAATTTTCACTCCCAGAAGGAAGTTTTAATTGAACAAATGACAAAAAAACTTAACTCCTGTTCTAGTCTGCCACCAGTATTCACTCTTTTATGGGAGGGTAATGGTAAGCTTCTTGACAGAAAAGGCTTTGTCTCATTCTTTGTTTGTTTGCTTCTTTGTTTTACATCTATCGAATATAATATTCTTCCTACCAAACACATTGGATCTTTGTTGGACAAGAAAAAGACTGTCTGAATTCATGACCGCAAGAATAAGAGGTCATTACATAAACACTTTGAACATCCCGCAGAATAGCTCACAGCCTTCATTAGAGTCCATTGACCAAATGGAATATAGGGTTTGATTTTCGCTTCCTCCTGAACTGATAGTCAGTGAGAAATCATCATGATTGATCTCTAATAAGACTGTCAGACAAACAACTGAAAACTATAGAGAAATACCAAGCTATGAAAATAAAACCAGGCACAACCAAAGAACAATTTTTATCAATTGCAAGACAAAGCACAGAAAAGAGATTAGGAAATGCGAAGGTTTCAACCAAAGATACTCAGACGTCACAGAATTTGAGAATCCAGAGAAATAGTTTCGTAGTCTAATTTGTTAGAGGAGGAGTTTGAAGCTGTGTGACTTGCTCTAAGGAAGAGGCTACGAATTTCCAGATGGAAATTAAAATGAAGAATGAAGATACAATTATCTGAGTTATTCAATTGACTTCTGTCCTTTTCTTTTCATCTGATCATCCGAAGGAAAGAGTAAAAGCATTATTAATATAGCAATTAACTGGGACGCACACTAAAAGGTATTGAAAACTAAACTCTAGAGCAAATAGCAAAAGAATCACTCCTATCCCGAGGTACAGATAATTTTCTAGCCTAGCTTTATCTCTACTCCCTGTTCACATCCTAGTCCTTATACTTTCTCAGACCAGAAAGAGAAGGGCAAAAGAAGAGTGTAATGTGGGCAGAGGTACAGTGAAAATGTGAGATCAGAAGTCCCTACAGAAAGAATTACAATGGCGAAAATTTTAATGATGTACAACAAAAGCAAAACAAATTTGAAAGTCTTCCTTTGGTATTGATTCAGAACACACAGATTTCTTGTCAATTCAAATAGAAAAAATAAATATGACGTACTTACCCATTCTGTATGGCAGCTGTGGGGTCATAGGTCAGAGCCATGCCAGCCTGTATGTGGGGGGAGGGGAGAAAATAGATCTTTACATGTTTATTATGGTGTCCAAAACCAGTACGTACTAACACTTTTATTTTTTATTTCCATGGTTTAAGTTTATTTTTTTCCTATATATTTCTCCACCCTTACTGCCAAGACTAACATTTTTACTACCCACACACCAGAATTCACCAATGAGTTGGTAGTTTATATGATACATCCAGACAAACCAAGGAACAGTGTAGCCTGGATGATTTTCATTTATGCTTCATAAACCATCTGCTGTCTAATCTGGTATCCTTATAATTTCTCACTATTGTCAAGATCACCTCTTGTACATTTCATGGCATGAAAAAAAAAAGAATGAATCTTACAGTCAGGATAAAAATAAAAGCTACTGAAAATGTATCCAACCTTATAGAAGAAAATGTTAAGACATACTTATTTTAAAATAGCTCATATGCCTCAGGCAGGGGTCTGTCCACAATGAGTCACACAGTGCTGGTCCAATACGTTGCTACTACCTGTCTTACTAAGCGTGGTAGAAAGGGGAGGTCATTTACATATGATGGGAATTCTAGGCCATAGGGCTAATAATGAGGTAGCTTTGTTCACTTTCTAAAAATAAGACCACCTCAGAAAAAGTAGAGTTCTATAACTGGCAGTAATTTCAGAAGAGAATATAAACGTCAATGTCATTGAATCACAGCCTACCACATTCCTTGATATACAACATCACATTTGATCCTCACAACAACCCTATGAAGTAAGCCGGAGAAATATGTTCTCCATTTTATAGGTGAAGACATTGAAGCTTGGAAAGGTCAAGTGACTTGCTCAAGGTCACACATTTGGAGGCAGAACCAGATTTCAGCCCAAGTCATCTGATGTGGGCTCCTTTCCACTCCTCCGCTATGACACTGGCCTAGGATTTGAAGGGGAACTGACTTTGGATTCAGCATATACAATAAACTAAAATAAAAATTCTCAGGTTTCCTAACACAGTGCCTAATGTATGGTAGGACCTACTGCCTTCGAGTTTAGATTGCATGCATTATTTTCCCTAAATAAAAGTTTCAATTATAATTATGATTGGTATGAGGAATAAAAGTGTAGAACTCTATATGCATGGGATTGGCATAAAGGGAATGTACATAAATTGATAGGGAGTTTGAGATGACTGTCAAAAATTAAGAGCAATACACTGAGAACACATGGGTAATAACTAGTACATCATCAGGAAAGTCATGAGGTATTTATGTTTTTCTATGCAAAATGCATCATGACTTTTCAGACAACCCAATACATTGACTTCTTTAAATGAAAGCATCTCATTTATGTTAAAGAAATACACAATTGACAATATAATAATCTAGAGGGCTGGGAAATGAGAAGAGAAT